GACTCCTCCTGAATTATCAGTCCCAGCTGCAAACAACTACTATCATCTTGTTTTGTAGTCACCAGCCCTGGGAATCATTCCTTCCTACCCTAGTCCCACAGAACTACAAAATCAAATAGGTCTGCCCTCCCCCGAAATATCACTCAGATCAGCCCGTCTACTTCATTTCTATCACCTTACTTAAGGCTCTAACCATCTCTTTCTTGGGTTCCCACGTAACTCCTCCCAACTTGATTTCCTTGTTCCACCATCGCTCTTTTCAAAGTTACCCTCCACACAGCTGCCCGTGTGGTGTATATTCATGTCAATATCACAGCCTCACTCCTGGCTCACACCCTTGAGTGGCTCCCTAGACTAGGCATGGAGGCAGCAACTCCGCAGTGGGTACCACACCCTTCCCGACCTGCCCTTGCTGACCTGGCCAGCCTCATCTCCTCTCATTCTTTGCCTTCTTAAGAAAGGTAATACAACTGCAGTTTCCCTCAAATAAACTCTGCCATTCCTCAGTCTGACACCTTTGTTTATATTCCATAGGAATGCCCATTCTAACCTCTTCAGATTCCCTTCATTTTGGCTATTTTTTCACCATCATTGGAGACTCACACAAAGACCTAATGAAAGAACATTGAATAAAGAGATCCCGTAGCTATGAAGATTGATAACTACTAGACTAGGTCCAAAGTTATCAGATCAATTACAAAGTAAAGCAAGAGGATCATGATTTCCAGCTACTTTAATTCAGTGGTATCAGTAACTGATCTAGAACTTCTTTGACTGTAACAATAATAATATTGCACAATCACTGGAGGAATTTAAAGGAACAAGAGAAAACTCAAATTTTGGCTTCATAAGGTCTTACTGCCCAGCAAGACACATGAAAGGTCCTGAGTAGGTATTAAGAATCTACAGAGTTCCCTCCTGTAATATAACATCTACTAACAACTTTAACTTTAGACTTATTTAGCCGCCTTTTCAACTTGAGAACAATCTAATCAATTTGCTATGCAGGTAGTAGAATGACAGTGAGTCTTTGTCTCTCAGAAAGGCTACCTTTTCATTGCTAGGATCATACCTTGAATTTCAGAGCAAGTCTTGGTTTATTTAGACAGTGCAGAGAAAAATACATCTCTGTATTTGAACACTACAGACAAGTCAGGAGACTCAAGGCTTTAATCAATGCAAGAAAAAAAAGTAAACCTTGAGTTTGCAATGCTAAGGACACACAATGGGGCAAAAACCCAACATCTAATGGTTCTTTATGAAATAAAAATGAATCTGAATTATATGTGGTAATGAAGGAGAAATAGGATGCAGAAGTGAAATATTATACACTGGATATCTCACTAACGCCATTAGTCATCCAAACTTATGGGAGGCACTATGGGAAAAACTCAGTCAGATTTAGCTTTTACTCAGAGCTTTAGCCTTATCTTTGTGGCATAAACCAAGAATCAGAGAACACCAATGTGGGATACATATAGTGCCTGGGATTTGGAAAATGGGTTCTTAACATTCTAAATTTATGACAAAGCCATGCCTGGTGCTAATCAAGGCAGTTTGAAAAAGGGGAGTATTTTGAAAAGCAAGCAGGAAAAAAAGCTTTTGAAAGGCTTTTCTCTACGAGATTAGGTTTGTAAAAGAATTTTAGTCAAAAGTGCATGCATGTATGCTACAATTAAAATAAATTCAGCTTCATTTCAATTCATGTATTCATTAATGCATTCAACAAATATTTATTGAATACTATGTGCAACAACCAGGAGAAAGGGAATTCTAAAGACAGAGAGAAGATACCTCTGAGACACTTCTCAAACAGCCATCCTCCGTTTTTCTAGGGGGTTGCAGGGAGGTGTCATGAATAAGAACAATTAATGGAATTAAATAAATATCTAGTCAGGAATGGTGCTCTCCAGGCCTCTCTCTTTTGCTAACTGTTATTTGGAGATAAATCACAGCTAAAGGAACACAAAATATATATATTAACAGATCAATAAGTATGCATCCAAAGGACTTGGGACAATCTCAATTTTAAATATCCTTTCTTATTTTCTCTACAAGTATGCTCGTATTTGTCAGATTGCATAGCCCAATGCTGACCTGGGACACAGCCAGCTAGCTGTGCACAGAGAGGGCATCTAAAGACTTCCTGGGTTTTCTCAGGAAGAACAGGAAATGGCAAATTAAAGGCTCCTTAAGCAACACTGAATTCAAGGGTAGCGAGGGCAAATCTAGGGCTTTGAAGCTCGTTGCGCAGAACTGCAAGAAGACAGGACTGGGCAAAGCAAAGAAAACCGCACGGGCTGTTTTCAGGAAGGGAACTCTGTGGAGACATTTCTTTGGAATTTGGTAGGAGGTCAAATAGGACAAGATGAAGGGAAAATGAAGGAAGCTCATCCTGATCATTTCGTGAAGGTCAAGGTAACTTACAGAAAGATTTGCATCAACCCCAGAGTCCTCATTTTGGAGCTCTAAGTAGCCCTGGTGTTATGTTTTTTTGTTCTTTTAGAGAACAAACCATCCCATTCTTGGAGAATGGTCTTGGATATCTTCCAAGGTAAAGTGGTTATCACTGCCCTACAAGTAGATGAACAGGTTTATTCAGGGACACTTAGTCCTCACAGATAGTCCCTTAAGTTAAGGAACATTCTGGGGAATATGCCTCAATTCTATGTAAATGACATTCACAGGGACTTAGCTCTTCTTTATTATCTGGTTGAAGGTAGAGTTGCCTATTTAGAGTCAGAAAAGTCTGGATTTCAATTTAGTTCTACCACTGGCAGACTGGGAAATCTGGGGCAGGCTGTGTGAACCTCTCTGAACCTGTGTCTCATTCACCAAAAGGTGACAGTCTCTTCTCTATAGAGTTTGTAAGAAGATTAAATGACCTAAAATACGTAAAAGTGCGCTCAAAATAAAATGATATATAAATGATAGTTATCAGTACTCTTTACCAACATTCTTTGACCCAAGTGCAATGGTATAGAGAGAGACTATGCTAACCACAAACAAGGCAGGGCTCTTGACCAGTGAGCTCAAAAGATATATTACACAATCATATACTTCAAAAACATATTTACTCCTTGGTAACATCAAATTCTGTTTACAGTGTCAGTTCCAACTTTTTATTCCAATTTGACTTTGACCCCTATAATAATTACAGATTTAACATAAATGGATATTATTGATTATTCTCAATAAAGTGGAAAGAAATGTTTACCATGGTCTTCATTGACAAATGATCTTAAAAGTAAGGCCAAAAATAAAGCTATCATTAAAACAACAGCAACAAAAAAAGTTCAATATTATCTCCTGGATGGTACTCATGTGATGTTCTTGCAGTATTTTCAGGTTTTTACCAAACATTTCCTGAGTATCCATTAAGTATTTAAACCATGCTAAGTACTATGGAGGATATGAGGATGATTAAGATACGGTCCATGCCCCAGAGACACACACTAGCTCATTAAAGAGAGGCACTGGTAATAACTGATAAAAAGGCAAACTGTCAAGGAATTTTCTGAGAAAGGTCCAAAGTGTTCTGGGAATAGAGGCAAAAGACAGATTTCTTCCAACTGCAGGGATCTAGCAGGGCTCCATGGGGAAAGTTATTTTGAGCAATGTGACGGAGGATAGGTGGGATTCCTTTGTCAGATATGGCAGTGATGGGTTAGAGGTTAGCAGTTAGGCTGAGACTCAAGCTTGAGCTTGACCCCAAAAGTAGATGAGAGCAGGATGTATTCAGAAATACTAGCTACAATAGCATGACCAGAATACAGGGAGAACAAAAGAAGATGGCATCAAAAAAGCAGGTCAAGAGAATATTGTGGAAGGGTTTGAATGCCCCGCTAAAAAGCTTGATTTTTTTCTACATGCAGAAATCCAGTGAAAGGGGGAATGCCATGATGGGTCTTGGTTCTGGCAAGATGTACAAGTAGAATCAGTATGGAGGATTTATTGGAAGGGTGGGGAAGAGACTAAAGGGAAGCCAACCAGATAAGGAGCTATGGCCATAGGTCAGAGGTGTTAAGAGCTAGAAGGCGGGCAGTGGCAGCAGGAAGCAATGGATGAATGGCTGTTTGCTTTTTCATCCTGAAGTGGCATACTCCCGAGGGCACAGACCTCAGACACACTGTGTTGCCTATGTTAAGAGCTCTTGGTGCTTGGGCTCAACCAAAGAGATGAAAGTACATAAGACCCACAAATCTGAGCAACAACTACTTTAAATCCTTGCTTAGTGGCACTTGTCTGAAGAAGGCACATTGTGAGTTAGAAGTGATCATGTGAGAAGACTTTTTAAACCAGGGACCTGTGACATAATAAATGTAACACAAAACTAAAAGTCCAATGATTTGCATTATCCTGACACCATACAATACCCCAGAGTTTTACATCTTTGTCCTCCCTGCAGTCATTGTGAGAGTTCTTTAGCCTTTTTCCTCTTCTACAATTTCTGCTATTTTTATATGAATGTCTTTTACAGGTGATGGCTGACAATTGGAATTGTCTCACTAACCTGCTATGATGGTGAACATAAATAATAATTTCTGCGTTTGATGATGAAAAATAAGACGAAACAATTGGTTTCCCAATATGACCAAGCCAATAGTCCTACTTTCTTAAATGTTTGAGGTAGAATAATACGGCCAAATACATGTAAAAAATCATATAATCATAAAATTAAATAACCTACTGTTTTCTTTAATTCTATTCTCAAATATAAAATCAAAGCCTCAGAGGCACATGCAGCAAGTCAAATACCACCATCAGCATTAGTTCCTTCACACCTAAAATATGAGTTCTTCATCATACTATTGCATTCATTGTCTTCTTTCAGATAACAAAAAAAAAAAAAAAAAGAGAATCTGCAAATGGAGCTAAACAGATTATTTTAGAAAACAATTAGACATAAAATGACTCTAAGTGAAGATTCCTGGCACTTTTCTATGTGTGCAAGTGTATGCACTCTGCATACCAATGACAAAGCTAGAAAGAAAACTCACCTGTTTTCTTCCTCAAGATCTGCTAGGATTCTCTCTAGCTCCCCTCTTTCCTCACTCTCTAAGGAAATCAAGATCTGGGCAGGACTACGAGGCTGGCTCAGGGGGGAGTCCTGGTTCAAACTTTGGCAGTAATGCTGGATTAACAAATGTTCATCATCTCTGGAAAATAAAATCAAAGGTTTTGGTTTTTTCCCCCCCTTATTTTGCTTTGGGGGTTAGGGACTCAGGAGTGTATTTGAAAATAGAAACATTTATTTGCTCTTAACAATTAATTAGACCTTTTTTCCTGCTTCTAAAGACCTTTTGATACTGTTGAGGTTGTGATCTACCATTCTATTGGTAACAATTCAAAGTGTTTTCTTGCTCAAATTTTCAAATGAAATTGATTGGCCTATTTACATGGATAAATGAAAGGCAGAATTACAGAAATACTGGGACTCTACATCGATGTTAGTCAATAGCTAAAAAATATTAAAAGACATAATAATCGCTGTATAATGCTTTGGCCACCAAGCCTGTCAAGATAATCTGTTCACTAACCCACGCTATTGTTGTACTGAGTAGGAAAAAATACCTTGCAGCTCTAAAAGTAACAGAGGAAATATTTTCTTAAGTGGAAGGCAATGTAACCAAAAAATATTGCTTCAGTAAGTCAGTTTTAACTTATATAAGTCATTGAGGCAGAATGACAACAACAATTAAACTGGAGATAAATGATTGTTTCATTCAGTTATTGTTTAGACAGATAAACAAAAATTGAGGGGAAAAAAGCCATTAAGGTGACTGATTAAAAGAAGACTGAACATCTCATTCCTCAGGGCAGAGTTTTTTCAAATTTAAGTTTTATTTATTTTAAAATTTATACATAATAGTTTTAAGGACTAACCTTGGGGGAAAAGGAGGCAAAAAGGCTTATATTTGGGGAGGCAGCTGCAATCTCTCCTGGAAACTAGGAGCTCTCTAATACACAGGACAAACTTTTTTCTGAATGCATTGCTCCAAGCTCCTGAAAGGCCTGTTTACCTCCAAGTTATAAGAATTTCATTCTGTCCATAATGACAGGCTAAAGCTCTTTGTTTCTGGTTAGATATCATTACGATGATACACTAATATTCTCCTCTCCATACCCACTTAATTTTCAGTTGAAAAAAAAATCTGAAATTTAGGAAAAAGTCCTCCTCATTTGAATTATTTTTGTCTATCAAGCCAGTTAACTGGTTTAGATGTGAAAAGCTGACTAAAAGTAATTATTGGGTATTAAAAACACATTTAAGTGAGGTCAACCAATCCACCAAACCACTTCCCCAAATGTGCCCCTAAAATGCCATGATTTTTTGCCATCCAACATTGAGTCAAAATAGATTTTATGTCCTCAGAATAAGCTAAAGCTTAGTTTAAAATAAAACAAAAGCAGCTTTACCACCTAATTTATCACACTCATTCCAAATTCTGAAGTTTTATTGCTAGAACTTGCCATGTTTAATTATAACCTAGAGTTGTAACTATACTTTTCTTCCTGTTCTCTTAGGCAGTCAATGAATGACAGCCACTGTTACACAGATACAACTTCAATTAATTTGAATGTGCTAGAGCTTCTAATATCAAAATCAGTGAGCCAAAGAAGTGCAAGCTATTTACATTTAGTTGATTCTTTGGCCACATATTTTACTGTCGAAGTATCTTATATATTAATACCATTAATACTTTTTCCCATAGCTAAGAAAGATAAGGCATCACAATTATGGTTGGGGAAAGGCTTGTTTGTTTGTTTGTTTGAAGTAACTAAGTCATATACAAATGACTGAGGGTTGACTTGATTCTTTATTATTAGCTTGATTGTTTATGTACCAGATTAGATTGTTTTTTCTCATGTCTTCAATAACTAGTTAACATATATGCCACTTTGATACTATTTCTTTTGGCCTAATCCTTATGAAGGTTCTTTTCTCATCTGAGCATGACTTTGTGCTGCCACACCAACTACATATGATAAATTTATCATTCTTCCCTTTGTCTATATTCTCCAAGATGGGTGAGATATCCATACTTTATCAAACTAAAAAGGCATCATAATACTTTGACTAGATTTCTTCTCTTTATGTTATTTATTCAGTTGGCAGATCCTTATTTTTTTCCTTCATATTTGCTTCAATGCCTGCTCTCTGTACCTCAAGCCCTGGTCAGCATTTACTTGGTTCATGGCAATGTTCCCTTATGCCCTGTATTGTGAACACTGCCCTTACTCTACAATGAAGCCTCAGTTTCCCTGCCATAGCTGTGTTGTTCCCTGTTGCTTTTAGCACCACTCTATCTCTGTCCTTAAAGTTTAACAGGGTTGGCTTATCATCCTGCTAATGAACTGCGACCTGAATTTGTACTTCTCCTCTGGAAACCTTTCATAAGATTTTCTCACTCTGTTTATCTTGTGAAGATGCTAAATCACAAAAATCGACTTCTTTGGATTTCTGAAGGAAAACGCCTAACTAACCTACCATATGTGAATAGCTATGCTATATCAAGATCACGTTTCCACTCCCCATGAGTGGAGAAAATAGTGCTTAGCCATCACTTTAAAATTAATATCCTATCCCTTTAAATATCTGGCAGGTTTGGTCAAAGATTAAGCATTACTATAGGTACTTGGGACTCTGCGATTTGTAATCATATGGTATGAAATAAGTTTAAGAATAAGGCAAACTATTTTTGCTACTCTGAATGCTAATAATGCCAGAATTTGGATGAGCTCATTCCATGCCAGGGCATTAAGAATTAAAGGAAAAAAGTAAATGAATGGCTCCTTAAAAGATCAAATGAATATGATGCTAATTCCTATATCCTGTGCTATCCTACCTCTAAATCCCTCAAAGCAATTTCATCGTCAGGAACATTTTGTAAAAAGAGATGGGATACTTACATGCTCTCATTAGGAGAGATGCTATCATTTAGATAAGATCCATTGCTGTTTTCCATTTCTGCTAGCCTGATAAAAAACGTAAAAGCTCATTAAAACTTATGTGACTTCTTATAATCTATTCAAGACCTAATCGAACATTCCTGAAAACTAAAGGATAAATCATGGCAAGAAGAGAAAGGAATCCTTCAAATTAAAGGATGTGTGTGTTGGCTTAACCATTTGAGGCAGTGTGTGGTAGACCACAGCTAGTTAGTAGCACTACATTTATGATATAAATTCTAAGGAAAGTTGTATTCCACTGTTTTCCCCCTACAGATCGATCTTGCTTTCACTGAGAACAGGTCTTTGTTTTCAGAAGAAAAGCTTCCCTAACAATAAGTGCACTCCCTACCTTACACTACCCCTTGTCTTTTAAGACAATTACTACTTTCCGCTGATGACAGACTTACACAGCTAGCTAATGCTTTTCGCGATTGGTAAACATGTCCAGCAGTTAGAATATTGACAAAGGATGGATGCACAGTAAGCTCTCGAAACATTCTGCCACCAATTTTTACCTTTAAAATCTTCTTCACCTCAGGCAGTTATACAGGTTTTTTGTTTGCATGTTTGTTTACAACTAAAAAAAAAGTTAATCAAACTCTTACGGATTGATTTAACAAGCATAAGATATTTTAAAATTAGTAATTCAGTTTTTAGGTATAAAAATGATCTCAAACACAAAGAAGGTGAGACAGAAAGGTCCAAGGATTAGGAAAATTAATTATTCTCTTATTTATAGTATGTCATGTAAAATAAATACACAAATGGAAAGCTGATGCTTTCATATTCTCTACATAATACAGTATCATTTTTTCATATATGAATGTCTGGTCTAGCAGTTTTCTAAGGAGGTTAGACTACTTGTAAGCCAATTTAGTAAATAATTTAGTAAATGTGCTCAGTATAAAAAAAAACATAGCAAGGCTACCGGAAATGTTTAAAAGCCAGGGTTAGGGAAGATTATTCTGGACTAATGTTCTTGTTGGTGACCAAAAACAACATGCAGTGGAACGGCATGCACGTTAGAGGGCAAGTTGATTAGTAGGAATCAGACAAGTTTGGGGAAAAAAGAAAAGATTTGTTTAAAATATTATAGGTTAGCTTTCCTTGGTTAGTTATTTCAATCAATATTTGCCTGGCATTCAACTAGTCTCATACCTGCTAGCATAATGTTCAATGCGTGAATGAGTATCATCGTGTGAAAGCTGAGGGGACGAGGCAGGCCTATAAGGCAGAAAATGTGATTAGTCACAGATACCATCCATTAATGGAGAAAAAACCCCACCACACAGTTATGTTATACACATGGCCTAGAATGCTTTTATTCTAATTCTATGGATAATGTATACATTTAGCTGCTCCTATATCTTAAATATTATCAAGTATTTTAAAATCCAGGTTTGTGAGATGATTTCTCATACTTCTGCTTTTATTAAAAGCCATGAAGAGAGGCCAAAAGCTTCTCTGGAAAATTCCCATCATAGAAAAGGTTGGGGGAGACAGTTTCTAGGTAGCATTTTGTCCTCCTACTTTTTAATTTCTCACATCCTATAGTTCTGAAATTGTGTTAGCACTATGTGGTTTAAAAATTTAAATAGTTTACACCTGCACCATTTATAGGCTATCTTCTTATTGAATGAAAGCTGTACATTTGCCTAGATACTTACAATTATTTTAGCTTCAAAGAGGCTACTCTAGTACAAGACTTCTTAAGACTCCATGTATCAAGATGTCTTGATCTATGCAATCTTGTAAAGAAGAAATGTATCTTCCAAGTCAGCAGCAAGACTATACTACTAATTTCTAGCACAAAATAGAATGACCCAGGATTATATTGTGAGGTTTTTAAAAAGAATGACTAAATTTCGTAGAATGTCATGATATCTGAAATATTTCTTAGGGATACTGTGTGCTAAAACACAGGTGAGATAATAAGAGGAGATCATCAGCAGGAATAGTCTATATGCTTTTTGTATATAAACACCTATCTTTTCTTATCTCCATAGGCTAGAATTCTGGTAGGGTTAACATTTTTTCATCCTTTCATATCTGATCTATTAATTATCCTTGAAGTTTTTATAGTATCTTTTGGATTAACCTTAGGAAAAAAACCATCTGTTCTGAAAACCAGTTTAGGCTTGTACTTTTTGTTTTAATTGGAATAGCACAAAAGGTCTCTTCCATTTCTCTGCTGACACAGAAAGCCCTTAGGTAAAGGCATAAATCCGAAAGTCAACAATAATGTAATTCAGAGAGGACCCTGGTTTAGCCCAATGTCCAAGTAGCACTGAAGGACTTGGTTGAAACACTAAGGAGAATGTGTTTGTTTCTTCTTACATTAAAAAAGAAAAAGATGTAGTTACCAGTAGCTAAGCTTGCATTAGAAAATGTGCCAGAAATTCCTATTTCTTAATATACTACAGTAAAATAATTACAACACACTACAGCAAATAACTAGGGAACTGGAATTCTTCCCTGAGAGATCAAGATCTTATTTATGAAACCAGTGTCATCTAGGTCAAGTGTAATCATAATCAAATTGAAATGAGTTATAAAGACGTTTAAATTGTCAAGAGGAAACAAAAGGATGACTACTCAATTTAATAAGCAGATCCAAAGATTTCCATGTGAATCTTCACTATAGTTTTGGAGAGTTAATCTGTTAATCTTCTAGAACCCTGGCATAGCCCATTATTAGAAAAATGCTAAGGTTTGTTTTGAAATCTTCACTGCAGATCAAGATAAATTAATACTTGGATTATTTGTATTAAAAGAACTATCTTTTGGAATAGACCAGTCTTTCAATTACATATTTTTTTAATAAGCAAAAAGCCTACCATCAGGGAAAATACATTAGTAGTGTTTTCCCTTATAACAGTTGCTACCCTGGAAGTGTATAGAAGAAAGAAAGCCTAAGACCTTGGAGCATAAGTACACCAAGAAAAGAGGCATATAAATCCAAAACACTTTAATACCATTTTATACAGAAAATCTTATACAGAGCTTTAATTCTTAGCCTCCAGGATAATTCCATGTTATTTTTCTTATTAATATCTGTGGCGCCTATCACAGCATGCATAAGCACAAGAACTTATAATAACCAGAAATCTTAAAAAATGTACACTAAAAGAGGCACTTATTAAGCCAGAAAATGAGCCAAAAGGGAGTACTGGTCAGAGATGAATCATTTAAAAACCAAGAATTAGTAAAAATACAAAGCCACTTAGTCCACAAAGAAAACTAAGTGCAAAGCCTTCTAAAACACTTCCAAAAGAAGGTAATAATACTGCTCCCCGCTTCCCACTTCCTAAATACAAAACCATATACCCAGAAGGATTACTTACTATTAGAGTTAATGACCCACTTGGTCAATTCTATCCCACCCACCACCACCTTATCTTTCATGAAAACTCTATTAATTAAAAGTTGACATTCATTTAGGTTTCAATGCAGAATCGCTCAAAGAATATTGTTTGACTGGCTACTGGCTCCCTTATCGACAAACAATATAAAGGCCTATGGTAGCTTTAGGTTAAAGTAATATGACAAACACAAGCAAATAAGAGTTTAGTCTAAGGAAAACCAAAAAGTCTGTATCTCTAGAAACTTTCAAATTCTGTGATCCATATCAAATGGATTAAATACTGTAATCATCAAAGGATTTGTTAACATTAGATAAAATTCTTGCAAAATAAAACACGTTAGGACCTGGCTCTTATGCCTGAATAGGATGGCTTTGTAATATATTTTATATAGTATTTATAATCCTATGAATAAATACTTTAAATATAATTACTGCTATTAAAGAAAACACAGACTTATACAGAGCTTTAATTCTTAGCCTCCAGGATAATTCCATGTTATTTTTCTTATTAATATCTGCTAGGTTTGTTTTCTTCCTCAAAATTAAAACTTGCCACTATTTCTGAATAATCTAACCAACTCTTCATAAAAAAGACAAATTGGGAAGTGTGTTTTAGTTGTTAGAAAAGATTTTTAAATAAAAGATGTTATTAATTTTAAAGTATTTCAGCGTTTAAGAAAGACAACATCTTCTACTTAAAATAAGTTACTTGAAACTGATTGTCATAATTTTTTTTTCTCATTAGCTTATGTGTAGCTCCTTTTTGCCTTTCAAGGATCTATTAATTACTCTTTATTATTTTGTGCTACTTTTATCTATGTATTCGTAACAACTGTTCTTTAGCATATTTGTCATTTGGATTTCTTACTTGGTTAAACTTATTTTAACATAGAGTAAATCCATTCACTTATCACGATCCAATCAAGCTGAAACTGTAGTGTATAAACTCTTTAAAAGTTTCTTATTTTTGAAAGGTTGTAACTTCTATAACAGACTACCTGGGTTAGAAAAAAACAATTTCCAAGAGGCAGAGGACATAATTGAATCTAAATAACTCCCAAAGTTCTTTAAGCACGATGATTAAATAAATCAGAGAATATACTACTTATAGCTACCATATCTCAAAATTAAGGGGCACAATAACGAAATTTTAAAAAAGAAAGGGAAGCCTTCCACTTCCTTTAGGCCCATAAAGACTGAAAATAAACCTCAATTAATAATTTGCATTTATCACTACAGGGTTTTTAAAAAAGAACCTAGTTTAAATTAAATTACACAGTGGAACAATAAAAAAGACTCAATAAAAAGAAATTGAATTCTTACATAAGCTTATCTTCCGAACTGGTCATTTCCCCTTTATACATAATAGAGCCGTCTGATTTTCAATAAATATTTAAATAAAGCATACTTTGAAATACCAAAAGTTTGTTATAACAACCCTACATAATGTAGTTTTAAAACAGGCACTTTGTTTGCTAATATATAAATCACAGGCCCCAAAAAAGAGTTTTCTAACATTATAAACTCTGAGATAAATCATCTGCTGGTATCTAACCTTAGTATTATTAATACACACCAATAATAACAACAAAGACTATAATATACTTTCCTCCTAGAGCAAAGGTATAATTATTTATGAGCTGAATATTTAGTTTGGAGAGGAGAGCAAAGTGAGTTTAGTTCAAAATTTGGAAAGCCTTGTATATAATGATTAGTCAAATAGCATGGCATAACCCGATAAACAGTCCGCACACCTCATTAAAATTATTCAGCTAAACTCAACATCATACTTTAAAACGAATTCTGCTGATTTTTAATAGTTCACTTATAACAGACCCTAAAGATTCTAAAAAGCATCGAATCTCAAGAAGTATGGCTAAAGAATGTTATGACGTAATCAGAAGGTTCTTCTTTGCTTTTATATGAAGAAATATATAAACATGTCTCCCAGGAATACAGCTAAAACTCCAGTAACTTCTTTGATTATAATTTGAATTCAAGCCAGGATTTCAGCTGGTTTGAATTTCACCTGGTGGAGGAACCAAAAAACCCACTCTGATTCTCCTGATCTGTGTAGATAGTACTTTCAAAGTCTCATCAAGAAAAGAATAAAACAAACTGAAATGAAGGAAAGGGAATTAATATGTTCATAAAACAAAACAAAACAAACAAACAAACAGAACAAAAGAAAACCAAGCGAGCGAATGTGTTGGTGGTAGCAGCACCCTTCAGCAAAAGTACTCACGCAGAATCTACTGGCCAGAAGTTGATCAGAGTAACGGGACTGCAAAACAAAAAATGAGGTGGTGAAGAGAGACACACGCAAACTCAGCTGCAAAAAAAATTTACTGAAAGGTCAAAATAAATAAAATCCAGCCAATTAAGTATGAACCATGGAAAGCAATAGCCAAACCAAGGTGTAAAGTGAATTAAAAGGAAAACAAACAGTTGTGTGACTGCCATCAGAGTTAAGGCAAAAAAGAGGAGCAGGTTTAAAAGAGGTGAAGACATCCCTTTGATCGTGAGAACCACTACTACTTACTGTGAAGTAGTTTTTTCCTGTGATTATATTTTCTCTTGAGTAGAAACAAGTGACTAGATATGACCACACAATGAGATACAAAAAGACACACATTTACTGATTTGTGAGAGAGGAAAATCAAAATGAAATACTGGAATCCCTCATTTGTAAACAGTCCCATATTTCTTATAAGGCTTGTAAGGCAATTAGTGGCTGTATTGTGTTGTGGTTTTTTTTTCCCCCTGTGAGATAAAGTTTAACTTTTGGAAAAAGAAATTGTCAAGTGAAGTGGGGAAATGGCAACTGGACATCAGCTTAGTTTTCTCTTTTCAGCTAACGTAAATAAAAAGAAATAGAAGAGACTGTTTGCATTTGGGAGTGAAGGAGGGTGTTCAGCTGAGAGGAGTTCAAATATACATCAAACAAGCGTTTGTTCTGCTTTTGCCACTACTCACGTTTCCATGTTGTCCCCCTCTAAGACAGTCTGCACTGGCAGGTAGCCCATTCGGGGATGCTTCGCAAAATACCTTTTGGTTCGAAATTTGTTTTTTAGTACCTTGGCAAAGTCTCGAACATCTTCTCCTGATGTAGTCTAAAAGGGAGATCATGGTGACATCAGATTTAGGACAGTATGATTTCAAAACTAATGACCACTCCAGTCTTCTGCCCCATGACACTTGTTTTGTAATTAAGGAGAGTGTTGTGGTCATGAGCAAAGGCTTTGGAATCAGACAAATGCGGCTCCGAAACCAGGCCTGGCATGTGCTAACTTGGGTGAGTTATTTACTTCTCAGAGGCTCTGATCATCAGTAAAATGGGAGCAATAACACCTCAACACATTGTTATGATAAATAAATGAAGCATACAAGCTTACTAGGCTACTTAATAAGTGGTAGTTTATAGGTCTTAAGGTCAAAAAGGTGATGTTAAATTTTACCACACTTTATGGTATTTTAAAAACTACTTAATGATAGCATGCTTCACCCACTAAATTTTGGTCTATTCACGGCATGGTACATTCTCAATCACTGACCATCTCTATAAGAGGAATAAAGGTGAGAAAGGCAAATATCTGGGAGGATCACTCTGATGATGGAAGAGAGAGATGCTCTAAAGCAGAGTTTCTCATACTTTGATGTGTATGGGAACCAGCTGCAGATCTCGCTAAAATGCGGTTTTTGATTTAGAGCATCAGGAGTTGGGGCCTGCAGTTTTGCATTTCTAATAAAGACCCAGGTAATGCCAATAGACATGTGATTGTTGGTCAACAGACCATATCTTGAATAGCAAGCATGTAAAGTTTAGAAAAGAGGAGAATGTAAGAATTAAAGAAAGAGAGGAGAAACACGAAGGGTGGCTCTACAGTAAACAGGGACAGGTTTATTTTAGAGAAAACAAACCTGAGAGGAGCCTGTCTTTAATTTTTATGGAGATTTGTACTCAGGTCTGTCTGGCCACCAAGTCTACACCCTTGCCATTGCACCAGTGATTTTTCACAGTTCTATTGGCCACTTAACATTTTCCTAAAACAACATCTTAGGAGATGGCTTCAACTCTTACTTATAGAACCTTGAGCAAATTATTTAACCTCAGGACCTCAGAGTCCTCATCTGTATAGAGGGGATAAAAATTATAGTACTTATTTTTTGCACAGGGTTGTTTAAAAGGTAAATGCCTACCATTTAGTAAGTGTCAGCATATAAAATGGATTTTTAAAATGTTGTTAGTATGTAGGACAGATAATGAACAAGTAACATTGATTAAAAGTGGTAGGTTATGAATTTGGGGGAACCTAGAACCATACCCCATATTCAACATGCCTCATGGCCGTAAGATCGCCCCATACAGCCTCTAAGGCTGTGCAAAATAAATGTGAAAAGATCTTCGATACATTCATGCACACAGAGTGAAAACCCTATTTATTCATCCAACTCATGTTCCATATGTGCCAGGCACTTCCCTAGGCACCAGGGATAGGGTAAATCCTGAAGCCTACAGTTGAGAGCCACTTTAGCTGGGGAACATCTGGGGAAGGGACAAATCACAGCATTACACATGATCTGCAGTACTGTACAAAACTGAAATGTATCCCAGGTGAACTAACTCTCAAGTCAGGCAGGTGTCTAACTTACCGGAGTGCAATATTCCACCATGGGATAGTGCATTTTATGGCCTTTTGCAACTCGACCAGAAAAAAAGCAGCTTTGGCAGATGTCATAATTAAAGTGCTTTAGACTTCTGTACCTGATAAAGAGCAAACACAAACACGTATGTATTTCTTCGAATCAAATTCCCAAAGAACACTCTTTAATAAACCTTCTACCACGTTCTAATTCGAGAAACAGAATGCAATGTTCATTAGTCCCACAAGGTAAGTGATTAACTTCCTACCTCCAGACTTCTCCGGTGCCTCTCCTACAGTATCAAAACATTTTGGCAGAAAGATTATCCTCTAAACATATGGAAGGAGGGAAGAAAAACTCAGCTCTTATTTAAACTCCACTAGGAACTCTTTGAGATTAAGTAGGAAGGTATTGGCAAATTTCCAGTCTTTTGAAAACCAAATACTCAAATTTACAAGAACTTCCAGGAGAGACAGACTGATGCCGTGCATGCCCCTTACCCATCATGGGGACAAGTTTTCTGAAGCAATTATTTTCAAAAAAATTGTCAAGATAAAGCAATTTCACAAGACAAAAGAAATGTGAACAAGAACTTGCAATTAAAACAAGTCTCACTTTAATAATGTTTTCTAATTGACTGATATGATTCATCTTCAAACAGTTACTCGAATGACCTCTTTTATCTCTATCTCTTCAGAAATCTCTCACCACATTACCTACAAATGATAACCGAAGCCCCGAGAGAAAATGAGAATTGGATTAGATGGAAGAATTTATAATTTGTAAATACCAGTTGGTACATTTCCTCCATTATCAGAATGTGATATTCTTTGTTTCATACTCTCCTGCCTTTTGCTTTCTCAGATAAGAACCTTAGCCAATTCACATAAACATATTTCTTATGTCACATATGGGGAAGTAGGAAGGAAAGCTATCTTTTTTAGATCCCAACCATCTTTCAAGAGGGGAAAGGAGGAATGAGAAGTGCTGAGTCCTAAAATAATGTAATTTGCTAAGGGCAAAAGAATTGCAGGCGAAAGTGCTCTTTCAGATCCTCCAAAGCATTATTCTTTAGTTTATAAAAATTTCTCCTGTATACAAAAGCCCACTAGCTAAGGAAGCAGAGAAAAGATAGCTTAGAAATCTAAAGCAGTCACTTGTGGCTTCCCTTCCCCACTCCCCACCCCCATGGCATCATTTTTACCTGCCACGAAACCAGGAAGGAAAGAAGGTATCTTGCAAGCACTGACTACTCACTGTTGTCTATCTAGGCTTCAGAAACCTCTAAAAGTTTTTGTAAAACCTCTTTGTAAACAGCATGACTATGGAAGGATAAACACCAAAAGTTAAAAAGCACTATGAATAAAAAGCATGCAACAGTACAAGGTAGTTATTAGAAAATAAAGTAACAAAACCAGTTCACACATAACTGGAAAAGAGTGTTTACTTAGCTGCTAAGTGGATTCTGCACAGGCATAGACCATATAGCTAGTTTACAACTTTGTGGCTTACTCATCACTATGGAAACCTTGATGTTGATTCACACATTTAAGGACATCACAGTTTCAGAATTAGGATTTAGGATTACTGTTAAGTGATATTAATTCATTAAAAAAAAAAAATCCGGTCTCCCCAAACAGGTCAACAGGGCTAAAGATTTAGTTAGCCTTGTTTTCCATGATATTTTAAGAATATCAGAATAACCTGCTACGTTTCCTATATCTTTCACTTATAAATATATAAGGACTGGTTGTTTTTTAGCTGCTTTGTGAATCTTCCATTTACTTGCATACTTTTTATTCCTTTAGAAGTTCATTGGGATAATACACAAAGAATGTAATCAGATTCACAGATAAAGAAGTAAGTTCTCAGATGCTGAAAACAATTCTTGTTACTTAAGGGAGAAAAAAAAAATGGTGCAAAGTGAATGAGAGACTGAGCTACTATTATGGTTCCTCCCAGAATAGAATCATCTCTCAGTTTTATAACTGATGCTTGGGAAGTTTCTATAAACAGAAAAGACCGTGAAAAAGGAAAGATGGTAAAAATGTTTTGGTTCCAGGAAGGAGGAGGTACAGTTCATCTGTAATACCTCCGTGAAGACACGCGCTTTGTCCTGCTCAACCAAAAATGTGGTTCTGAAGAGCTGAAGAGTGAAGGTGGAAAGGGACCCCAGCCTAATAAGTGAGATTCACCAAAATAACCTAGCGATCAGGAGGGTGACAGGAATGATCGATGTTCCAGCCCAATCACCTTCTCTCCCACTTTGGAGAGGGACGAACTAACAGCAACTGGCACAGGAGATAAAAGATCAAGTCATAAAAAGGTGAAAAATGATGAGGAAAAAAAATGACATTTTTTTTTTGTTCCTAATACCTGAATCCAATGATTGGACACTCCTTGCAGATGTTACATTTGGCCTGATGCTTGGCAGTTTCTGCAGCAGCCACTCTGTGCAGGACGGGCAGCCACACCATGGACTGGGGTTCCAGTCTCATCCAGTCTAGGAAGAGGGCTGCTTCAATCTCTGGCTTATTATTAGCCTGCAAAGACAGGAGGGAGAGAGGAGGAGGACAAAAGGATGAAAGAAAAGAAGGCAAGATGGCAAAGGAGTTGTATATCAGTTCAATTAATAAGTTAAACAAAAAAGAAAGAAAGAAAGAACAATGGTTGCAAAGCTAGGCTGGCTTTTCACAGCTTGTTTCTGCAAATGCTCCCTAATATCCAAAGCGCTACCTACTCCTAAGGCTTTGGTAAACTGCCATTACTCTTTGTGGCTACTAGATGACAACAAAAGAAAACAAAACCAACAAATGAGAAAGGTAAAGCAAACTACACACCTGAGCGAGACTATGTTTAATTCTAATTTTTGAACTGATACATAAAAGTTAGCCAGAAGTGAAATGCAGGTGTTTACTGATAAAATTTCAAAGGAGGGGGATAATTGATTTTTTTCTAGATAATCTATTTCTCATAGAATCATAATGAGGGGCTTTAAAATTCATCTGGTTCCCAAGCCTCATCTAATAGACAAACTGATTTTGTAGATCAGAAAAGTCGCTTTTCAAAGGCCATACAACTAGCAGCAGAGCTGATAATAGAATCCAAACCTCCTGGCTTAGTGCTGTTTTCATGATGCCCTGTTGATTCTGTCTGCCTATTTCTCTCTCTCTTTCAAAGTCTAAATGTAAGAAATACCATTCATCCCAGAGAGGACAATGATCTCAACAATCTCAAAATACCATCATTTGATTTATATGTTACTATATTCATGAATTTTAATTATACCTTATTTTTTCCAACCCTATAGGATTGTTTTAATTTTTTATATTGTTAGATAGATTGACCCATATATTGACTACTTTTTTGCTCTTCATTGCTTTCTTTCATCTCCAATCTTCCATCTGGGATTAGTTCTGCCTGAAATATGTCCCTTAGAATTTCCTTTAGCTGTTGGTGGTGCATTTCTCAAGCTTTGATTGTCTGAAAATACTTTTTTTTTTTAAAATCCATATTCCTGATAGTTATCTTCATTAAATATATATTTTTTTGAGAATGAGTCTAGCTTTCTTGTCCAGGCTGGAGTGCAGTGGCATGATCTTGACTCACTGCAATCTCTGCCTCCTAGGTTCAAGCGATTCTCATGCCTCAGCCTCCCAAGTAGCTGGGACTATGGGTGCACGTCACCACACCCGGCTACTTTTTGTATTTTTAGTAGAGATGGGGTTTCACCATGTTGACCAGACAGGTCTCGAACTCCTGACTTAAAATGATCTGCCTGCCTTGGCCTCCCAAAGTGCTGGGATAATAGGCATGAGCCACCGTGCCTGGCCCAAGTATAAAGTTTTTGATGGAAAGGTTTTTGGGTCTTGTTTTTATTTTGTTTTTGAATACTGAAATATTACCCCACTTTCATGTATCTCTGTTGCTGTTGAGAAGTCAATAGTAAAGATGACTGTTGCTCCTTTAAAGATAATCTATCCTTTTCCTATCTTGTGCTGTGTTTCTAGGATTTGATTTAGACTGCTTAGGATTCACTGGACTCTTTAAACATGTGATTTAGAGTCTTTAATCAGCTCTGGAATCTTCTCATTCTCAAAACAAATAGTGCCTCTTCTCCATTCCCTCTCTATTCTACTTTCAGAACTCTGTTAGATAAATGTTAGACTTCTTCAATCTATATTTCTCTGAACAGGCCTTCCCTAGTTCCCCCCGTCTGCCCCACATCTTTTTAAAACATCCTTATTTGCTTCATTCTTTCTAAGTCCTTCTGCCTTACTGTCTGGGTATCCATTTCTCTTGCCAGACTGCTGTAAACCCATAAAGGTTTAAATTTTGATTACTGTACTTTTGATATCTAGAAATACTACTTGGTCATTTTTAAGGTAACTTCTCAAGTTTGTGGTTCCCTGCAGATATTTTTCAATGTTGTTTTTTTTTCTAACTATAATTTTAAAAAAATAATCTAATAATTCTGGAATATGATGTTATTGTAGGTCTGCTTCTACGGTTTGCTATTTCTTCTGGTTCTCATTCACCTTGACTTCTTTCTTTTTCCACCTTGATTTCTTGTGTGCTTAATGTTTTTTACTACGTACTAAATTGACCTTACAAATATTTTCTAGAGATAAATAAAAGTTTGAGCCTAGAATAAAAGTGCTTTCTCCAGAGATGATTTTCATTTGCTTTTGCCAAGAACCAAGAAGCATTACTTATTCCACAGCCAATTTCAGTTGAATATATGACATGGGAATACTTAGTATCACACAAGTGATGGGTATTTAAGCTGCAAACCCAAGTTGCTTCTCTTGTAATGTGGTTTGCTGATAAAGGACATATCCACATTTCAGATAGAAAAGCAAGAGGGTTTAGACTGACAGGTCATTTGGCTTATAACACTGATCACTTCAACAGTACTCCAGTCATTACCCCTAATTCTAAATTTAGCAACACTATAATAAACTGTTTAACTTTGGATTTCCTAGCTGCAAAATCATATCAGTTCAAACTTCTGATCAAATGTTACTGTTTACCAAAGACCTAGAATCAACCTAAATGGTACCCACCAGTGGTAGACTGGATAAAGAAAATGTGGTACCTGTACACCTTGGAATACTATGGAGCCAGAAAAAGAATGAGAACATGTTCTTTGCAGGAACATGGATGGCGCTGGAGGCCATTATCCTTAGCAAACTAATGCAGGAACAGAAAACGAAGTATTATATGTTTTCCCTTATAAGTGGGAATTAAATGATGAGTACGCTTGGGCGGATAGAGGGGAAAAACACACACTGTGGCTTATCAGAGGATGGAGGGTGGGAGGAGGGAGAGGATCAGGAAAATAACTAATGGGTACTCGGCTTGGGTGACAAAATAATCTGTACAACAAACCCCTATGACACAAGTTTACCTCATAAGAAACCTAGACATGTACCCCTTTTTAAAAGTTAAATTTTAAAAAGTTGTTACTGAGCACTTTTCTCTGTGTAGAGTTCCATCACAGAGGTACTTTGTGGGGAAAAGAACGTTTGTAAAGAATTATGGAATCTAAAGATGAAAAAGATCATGCAAGTCAATTCATCCTTTTGGCATGGCACCACAGAGCTGTAAGACTTTCAAGTTTCATTTGAGTCCAAACTCAGCATTCATTGAATCCAAACTCTTACCCATGCCAGTGTGTGCTTACAGCCACTACACCACCCATGTGAGAGAGCTAGGAAACATCCTTAGAAGGTGATCTTGAACACCTATGTCCAGATAACCCTGTCAAAAGTGTTTCATCACACTGAGCTGAAATCCATCAGCACAGCATATAGGAGTAGAAGTTCCAGAGTGAAACCACTGGAGTTCAGATCTCAGCTTCACCACTCACTGGCTGTGTGACCTTAGGAAAATAACTTTATCTCTCTGTCTTAATTTGTCTCTGCTACAAAGTGGAAATATTAATAGTGCCTACCTCATAGAGTTATTTTATGATTACGTGAGTCAACAAATGAAAGGCAATTGGAACTGTGTCTGAGACATAGCAAGAATTATGTTTGCTATTGTTATTGTCATTTTTATTATCCATCGACCAGCAACCCAGAAGTTCTTGTCTTTGAACAGCTCTTTAAATATTTTACCAGAGCTGTCTTGTCTGTCTATGCCTCTTCATTCCTATTCTTTTTATTTCTTCTTCATATGACATGGCTTAGTTTGCCATTGTCATTTAGAAAACTATTCTTCAAATATAATTGCTGAGAATGTACCTCTATTTCTCTGGACAGTGTAACTGGATTACTTTCTTTTGTTCTGTACTGTAGGCTCACATAGGGTTCCTACTCAACTAAAATCTCTGAGTCAGTGTTTCCCTGTATGTCCAGCAGATCAAATGCTTCATGAGAAGGTCAAATTAATTAAAGAAATACTGCACATTATATCTGCCTCTTAAAATTCTTAGTACACGTGAACATATTAAAAGCTGAGAAGGTCATCAGTAAAGAAACATGTTAATCAGCTCTGGAATCTTCCTAGATTCTGAGAATGAGAGAGTGAGAGAGAGAGAGAGAGAGAGAGAGAGAGAGAAAACACGCAAGAAAGAGTGACTGCTGAAGGGGCGATTTAATAACAGTTTTCAATTATGTGAATGGCTCTCGCATAGGGGCCTGTGACCAGCTGTTCAATCTCTCCACTGAGGACAGAACAAGAAGAAACAGACGTAAGCAGCATGAAGAATTTAGGCTGTAGCTCATACGGAAGAATTTCCTGATGCTGAAAGTTGTTAAAGCATTAGTGTGAATTACCAAGGGAGGCTGTAGAATGTTCTACTCTTTCAGAATACTATAGATTCTTCTGTGCTTAAAGGTTGAACATTCTGAAATTTCTGTCTAGCCCCTAAGATGCAAGATCCATTATTTTGGCTCTTTTAAAACTGCTCACCTATGCCAACTGATAGCACTGAAGACAAGGTATGGGGATTCACATTCTCACTCTGTTTCAATCTTTCATTTTTATGACAAACTATTCTATATCCTAGTGGTATATTCCCTCTCCTTTTGTCTGGCGATAAAGAAGGAAAGAATTAAAAACCAGGCAAGCTTCTGTAAAGACCTAACAGAACTAGAATTAAACCCAGCTAAAATTACATTTCGATCATTCTAGAAAAAAATATATAGGGATAGACTGGAATAGCAGGAAGTTATTAAGGTCAAAAGATAAGTATGATGGCATTCATTGGACTGAGATAATCTTTGTAAGTACCATTATTTGTTGAGATACATAAAAGTCTCAGATATATTTCCCTCTCAGTATCAAGGGTGACCCTGTCCTCATCCCTAAACACCAGTTTCAAGCCATCCTAGCAAAATCTCTTGGAAAGGTCATTTAGCCCTGGGTTTTGTTTTGTTTGTTGGCTTTGTTTTGTTTTGCTTTTGCTGTTGTTTTGGCAGTAACTCCATTTTCCCCTTCTATGTCATGCACACACAAAAAGCAAAGCTATCACAGCTCCTTCCATTGTGACAGTCACAGTTTGGAATTATGTTGGGTTTCTCCTCTTTCTGTTGGT